GGGTGAATGCTGCCGCCTACGTTGAGGCTTTGGAAACAGTTGTGAAGCCTTGGATAGACAGCGTGAGTGGTGAGAAGGCATACGTATTTCAACAGGACTCTGCTCCTTCACACAAAGCAATGAGAACGAAAGATTGGATGTCCGAGAATCTGCATGATCACATAACCCCAAACATGTGGCCTCCTAGCTCCCCGGATCTTAATCCTTTAGATTATTATGTATGAGGCGTTGTTGAATGGGAGACCAATAAACATCCCCATAATACGCTTGATTCCCTTAGAGCAGCTATTACCAGANTTCCCTCAGCTATTACCAGAGTAATGACGCATATGGACGAGGATCATTTGATTCGAGCATGCAAACGTTTTCGGCAGAGAATTGAAGCTGTTATTGCCGCTGAAGGAGATTTTATCGAATAACTGTATAGCCCATGGGCCACTTACTTTGCTGTAAAAGTTTCATTAAAATAAAACAAGTTTTCTAAAAAATATACAAATTTTAGTTTGTAAGTCAATATGTCCTCAAATACCTGACGCACCCTATATATATGTATATAGGTATATATATATATATATATATATATCAATCATATCTTGTTACTGCGTTAAAGGCAATATTTGCCTCTTTTTTTTTACTTTTACTTTTTATTACCTTGGAAAAACTGTCAGTGACATCAGAACTTCATTTGGTTGAAGTAATTTTGTCGCCTCTCGCCTTCGGTAACGCATATTAGCTTCGACAACATTGAAATGAGCTAATAATCCTCCATATGGTTTTCCTGGAGTTCCTTCTAGCATGTAAGCACCGTACTCCGGCCTCCAGAGTGACTTTACATTACTGCAAATAATTAGGTTTTCTCAGTTACAATTTTTTTAAGAAGAATATCCTTTGTGACTTATATGAATATATACAGATTTTCATAAATGAGTCACAGGTTTGATATAAATTATTTAAACTTAAGCTACTTAAACTTGGATAAGAACAAATACTTGATATGACATATGATATATTAATAAAAATCTTGATAAAATTTCTATGATATCTAGAAGTTGTAAGTTGTGTGATAATTCATATTCTGTATATTCTCTATGATATTACGAAAATATTAGAATACTGAATATTGAATATTATATATAGGTAATATATAGTGTGTATAACTTACTCTGGATCTTCATTTTCTTTCTCATTTAGGATTTTTAATATTTCCGCACCTCTCAAACTAAGTTTTGCAGTTTTTGTCTCATCATCAAATTTTATAAGCATATATTCCACCTATGTAAAAACAATTTCGTCATATCAAAGTTTATAATATATTTATTAAATATAAACATCATGATCAAAACAGTAATCACACAATAAGCTGATTAAGTCATAGATTGCAAGTTAAATAATAATATAATAATTAAATAATATTCTCTATTTATGATATCCATAAAAAAATGTGTTGTTTTCGTCAATTACATTATATCCGCAAACTTTATCTATGAATGAAAAACGAAATATGTACAAAATTTGTAATAAGAAAATTAAATTTTCAGTACAATAATGCGGGATTTCCAAAATATAACATGAATTTGTATAATTTCGATTACTTAACTCTGGCAGGAAGTTCAAAGTATAATTGATAGTTTAAAGATAAGATACGTTTGCGGACGGATAAGTCATCAATTATTAGCGATAACAGAACGTACAATTATTATGCAAGAGAATAAGCATAATATACGCATAACATATGATGCGACATGACACGTTCGAAGAAAAGGTGGAACCTTGTACAGTCTTCGATCCGCTTCCCGGTGACATTGTAATAAATATTTAAACAACTATAGCAGACTATATGCGCGACGCAAGCAACATATACCATTCGATGAATCGAACGGTAAAGGTTATGGGACATGAGTTAGCGCGATTGTATACAAGTATCCCGACGTTTCAAGGGAATGACAGTGCAAATTAAATCGATTCCGATGCGGCACACTATAACGGCGAAACCGGCAGATGAATTTGCAATACCTACCTCGTCACCCCACTTGAGGACGTCGCCTTGTCTGTCTCTGAGTCTCTTATACAGGTTAATAAATTGTATAACTCCATGTTTGCGCACGTGATCGGACAGCTTCTTCGTCTCTTCCCAGCTCAAGGGACTTCCTTCGGAGAGCAGACCCATCTTCGGCTACGACGCGTGTAACAGGACCCCTGATGCGCCTTTGAAAATTTGACACACGGAAAGAAATTTCGCGGAAAACCGATCCGGTCCGACTCGTGCCGAGTTACACCGAACACCCGAGATCACCATTCACCAACCGCCACCACCGGCTCTCTGTGACTAGAGAGACCAACAGGACGAAGTGATACCCTAGCGCCCCGCCCCGTCTTTCTCCCTTCTCCCAGCCGCTTGGTGGCGTCATGTCACGTAATCGTACGAATGATGACGGGCGTTATTACATTTTCTAGTACCGGAATATTAAATGGCTTTCCGTTCTTTTATCTCGCGGGCTACTTAAGATAAACACATAATTCATTTTGACATACTGACAGGCATTTCCTGAGACAATATACCTTTTTCTTTTTATCTATTTCTGTTAGAGATTCCGCACATGTATTCTCATTTATGTAAAAACAGGAAAAAACAAAACGTTCTCGTCATATTTTTCTCTAATTAAGATGATTATTCATGTTCCTGACTTATTTGAAAACTTCTATAATTCAATATTATGCAACTTGTATTTCTATAATACAATATTATACAATGGAAAATATCACACCATGCATAACAACATCGTGACAATTCTACGATATTCTAACGTTAGAAGAATTGAGAATTGGATATACAGCAAACATTCAAGTCATACAAATGAAGTTTTATTTCAGAGTCAGGGACAAAATACGTTCATCGAGCAGTTTTTTAATCAAACAATCCGAATCCCATGTCATCGTCGGACTCTTCGGATTCTTCTTTCTTCTCTTCCTTCTTCTCTGCAACAGGAGCATCAGCAGTTGCAGCTGATGGAACCGCTACAGCGGCGGTAGCAAACTTACTCGGATCCTGCAACCAGACCACAGTTCCATTACGCTCTATTGACGTAGATTATCGGTTAAACAAGCATCTTTTTGTTATATTTAGTTCAGACAGCACTGTTGTGTAATATTTCAACCGTGATCTTGACGTATCAGTTGATTCTGCTATTTCTAGACATTTCGTCGGTCGGACACATGGACCAAGATCTTCGAATGTATAATGCATCATTAAGTACATTCCAGAGTAATTAGACATTGTAAAGTATATCTGTGTTTTATACAAAAATAAATCAGTCTCTGTATAATTTTCAGTTATAAAAATGAAAGTAAGTCAAAATGGTAGTCGCAAGCTTTGTACATGTATTCTGCTCCTTTAAACTAAGAAAAAATAAACATATTCTTGTAAACACGTGCCCAAGACTTGACACATTTAATCCCATTGGTGGAAACAAAAAACAAGAAGCCTCCAATCAATTGTATTCAAAGTATTTAAATATGTGACAAAATGATTCAAACATTTTATTTGTAAATATTTGTGCATCATTGGTAAGGAAAAAATTAAATCTTTAAATATGTGGCTGGCATTGTTTCTTCTTTTTCTTCAAGATTTTTGATAACATCAACCAAGTTATTTATTTTTTTCATTCGACGAGAGATTTTGTTGTGGGCTGCTGCTATTCTTGCATTTTGCGATTGTTTAAATCTTAAAAACTTAAGCCAAGCTTCTTCAGATACAAAATCAGAGCTGGTCATATATTCCACTTTGTTTTTATGGGTAAATTTTACTCTTTTTATTGACCCTTCACTTTGCTTCATCAGTTTCCTACTAAAATATCATCATATTGGGTATGATATCCTACTGATACGCTTAAATTTCACATGTAAAATAAATATTGTTACCTTTTCTTTGTATTGCAAACATTATTAACGATACTGCATAAATTAATATCTTCTGTATTTATTGTTGTGTCATCAAAATTTGGAGAAACTGGAGCAGATTCTCTTCCACAATGTTCATTGCTTGAGTTATTACACATAGATTCATGAACAATATTAACTTTTGGTACAGTTTTTTTTTTAATTGTTGTTGATTTATCAACTGTTGATGCTGAACCAGCCTCTTCAATACTGATGTTATTTAGGAATACTTTCAATGGGAGTGCATCGGATATCAATCTTTTTCTGCATTTTTCTACATCCAATTCAAAGAAACTGTCATTGCTAAAATGATCACTGCAAATATATGCTGTTTTAACTTCAAAATACAAAGGTAGTTGAAGTATATTCAACCATTTACGCCTTATATCTACATCCTTCGGTAGCCTACAACATTTACATATTTTTTTAAATGTAGGAAAAAATAACATAATTATTTGAGGTTACGTATTTGTACTTTCTTACGAGTGAAAACTGCGGTTACATCCAGGATAAGACTCCGCCTTGCATTTCAAACAACGCCTCATATTTAAACAAATTGCGTCCAATTATTATTTTGTTAACGTTCGAATATTTAACGAATTTTAACTCTACACACATGTGCACGCATGTTTACAAAACGAAATTTTAGTCTGCTTTCTCCCCTCCTGACGTCGCGTGGTCGTCTTGGCGACTCATTGTAACAACCAATCACAGCGCTCGACTAGAAAGAGACAGATAGAACACTCGGCATCTATCTCTCTCTTGACCTCTATCACTTCCACTTACAGGTAGCATATATCCCTTGTTCCCTCTATTCTTATATCTCTATGGTTAAATTAGCCATTCACTCATGTCAACTATCGGAGCACGCCCACTTAGACAGTCATGGTAGTATCCAATGAATTAATTAAAGAAGCCTTTGTACACATAGCCTTTTTCAATCATTAATAACTCGAAATTTTGTGTTATTTGCAAAATACTACAGGATTTCTCTGTTTCCCTTAATCCATTTTATAGGCTCATGAAGTATGTCCCTGTGGCTCCGAGAGATCACGTATATTTTGTGATTCTACTTGACGTCTTTGATAGACATTTTAGTTTGCCGCATATTTTGCAGATTTTTGGAGGTTTTTATAAAATTATATGACTATTATATTTTTTAAGGAAAACTAGAAAATAAATAAATAAATAAATATATATATTAATATAAATTTATAATGTAACAAAAAATTTATTGCCCCTTACATTTCCCGTCTCTGATGTCACAACCAATATAAGTGCTACAGAACTTAAGATAATATAAAATGCTGATTCGTAAAAAAAAAACTGGCGAAAATGTAAACATACATTTATACAATAAAAATAATGCAAATATAACAATACTAAAAAATACATATCAAGTATTGTTTATATAAGATATATTTATACTTATTTAAATACATTATTCTAAAGATTCGTTTGTTTCGTGTGTAAAATGACACGATAAAACTTGTTGCGCACATTTTTCCAAGGTATTTAGTGTAAAATTGATATCACTCTTGGACAACTCAGTAGATATACACAGTTTAAGACTAGGCCTTGGTTTAACTCTTTCTCTTTCCAGATAGACGGGAAGTATAATTGCTAAGTTATTCTCTATACACTTGTTTGAAATTACAGATAGTAATTTCTTTTCAGTGGCATAGTCTTTTTTGTCTTTTAAATATAGATGCTTCACAGGTGACTCTGCGAAACTTGAACATTCAAATATTGAAATATTTTTAAGACCATTATCTATTGCTAAAGCATTATTTTTTAAAGATTGAAATATTTGCAAGTTACTTTCCACAATGTCTAGACAAGCAATGGCAATAGATGAGAGATAAGGTGGTAAAGAAGCTGAAAAACAGTAACCAAGTCCAGATAAACGTTGATGTTCAATAACAAAAGACGTCCCTACACAAAAGCCTCCAATGGATCCAAAAGCTAATTCTAAAGATCCTGAAAAATATAAATATATGTTATAAAACATATAATGTAACATACTAATAACACAATATGTGTTACTTTATGAAATATATATATCATTCATATTCTTACCCATTATCATGTCTATTTCAGTTATTGGAATATTAAAATATTCTGTAACACCTTTCCCATGTGGACCAATAGTACCGAGTGATATAGATTCATCGATGAAGATTCTTAATTTGTATTTCTTGCAAAGATCTAATAGTTCAGGCAAAGGACAAATGTTTCCCGTTTTGTTATAAATACCCTCTATTATCAAGAAGCGCTTAATTTTGGCAGCTTTCTTAAAATCTCGTTTATCCACTTCAGCTTGTTTTATTAAAAGTTTATGTAAATCTTGAACATCATTGTGTTTAAAGTATTGGATATTTGCTCGAGATGCATCCAATCCTTTTTGTATAGCAAAGTTTACTTGCTCATCTACAAATATTAAAGCGTTGCATTTGCAGTAAGCTGCAATTGCGGAAGCTACGGTGCTAAATCCATACGAATATACGACAGCTTCTTCTGTATTCGTAAACTTAGCCAGGCGTTCTTCTAATTCAAGATGTACATCAATAGTTCCATAGAAACCACGTGGCCCAGAAGATCCAACACCATATTTCTTTACGGCAGCTACTGCATTCTCCTCTACTTTGGGATTGTTACTCAAATTTAAATAATTGTGAGTACCCAAATTGAGGCAATCCTTGCCATTGATCGATATTCGCTTTCCAATTCTAGAAGTGATGTATCTGGGAGTCAACGAAGGATGTTTTGCCGGTGGTTCTGGTACGAGAGGCTCCGGTTGCCATTCCGCTAGTTTACTTTCTACCAACTCATCCGAAGGTATCGAGTCATAAGCATTCTTCCTTTTCTTGTGGATGAACCAAATTACCCAAATCAGGGCGAACAGAATTTCATAATACGATAAAACATTGAAAACCTTCACTGACTCAACGAACAGAAATACGATGCTCATTTTTATGTGGTCACGTATATATTGTGTATCCTACCCACTATTTTTACAGTAAAGTTCACATTAATGTGAACGATATCTACGGTTACGTAATGGCGATGTGTACACGATGACTTTTAGATAGGCACACGACTATGAAACAGTTTGACTACATACAGTTGCGACAGTGCTAGGAAATTGAAGGTTTCTTATCCTTCTGCGCATGCGCTGTGCAACCATGAACGTGGCAGACTCGTAGCGATATCGAGGAATGTGACAGCACAGCTGAGTATATAACATATTTAAAATTTGTTATATTATAATCGTAATGTAAAATGAATGCAGAGGTGGTATTTAGTGTACGTTTAATACATGCAAAAATATTTTTGCGCGAAGAGGAAATGAAATAAGTTCCTCTTGATTTTTGAAGGTTAGTGAAAAGTATCTTAAGGTTATGTAAAAAGTTATCACTTGTATACAATAATGTTAATATTAGGTCTAGTTTTTTCGCTACACTAAAACTGCACTAGAACTGAACTGAACCGCGCTGGGACAGATTAGGTCTGTTTTTTTTTCGAAACACTTTCTGCACTAATGCACACCAGTGCAAAGAGTTTACACTAAAGCGTTCTTTTTATCAAGAATGTCGTCATCAAGACGTCATCAACGTTGTTTGTTTTCGCAGTGCAACAGCATATAGCGCAGGCAGTTCAATAAACTGTTGCACTGAGTCAGGAGGTAGTGTGGTCGGTGCAGTGCATGAAAGTGTAGCTCAGAAGTGCATGTAAGCGTAACGGAAATTTATACGAAAAGTCTCTACCAGGTATGTGACTTGCATTATATTGAAATGTATGAAACATCTTTATTTCATTTTCAAAAATTGTTAATATTATACCATCACACACACATACACAGCAGAAATGTTCAAATATACCATAAGGATGAATTTAAGATGTCAACATCTTTATGATTTTATATTTATTTTATATTTAGCCATTTATTTAAATTTATGATCCGTAGGGTATATAATATTATAAATTATTAATAAATTTGCTATGTAATATGTGGTTGTATTACGCTATGTGGTTGTATTACAAAATCCTTTTCGTCAGAAGAATCAAATAATGTCATGTGATGCGCCATGTTGTTTACTACACTCGAGCGTTTCAGCGGTGCAGCGAAAACGAACAAGCCTCGTCATTGCACTTTTGCACTGAACTATTCTGTACTAGTCTTTCCCAGTGTGGTTCAGTTCAGTGCAGTTCTAGTGCAGTTTTAGTGTAGCGAAAAAAACAGACCTATTAGTACAGAATAGTTCAGTGCAAAAATGCAATGAAGAGGTCTGTTCGTTTTCTCTGCACCGCTGAAATGCCTGAGTGCAGTAAACAACATGGCGCATCACATGGAATTATTTGATTCCTCTGACGAAGAGGATTTTGTTGTAATACAATCACCATTACAACCCATTGTAGATGAAAACGATGAATGTATTATACAGCTAAATATAGCAAATTTATTACTAATTTATAATATTACCTACCGATCATAAATTTAAATAAATGACTAAATATTTCGTTAATGTAACCTAAGACATGACATACGTGTATTTTTAAACTAAATAGTATATATAACATTAACGTGATATTTTGCTCTTTATTCAAGTAATGACCAGTAGTATATCTGTGGAGAATTTATATAACTCTAACCTAAATATTATCTGTTTGTAGATCAGAATGTATTATTATTAATGCACCCACTTCTGGGGATAATGTATAAGATAGAACATATCAAAATATCAAATTATATCGAAAATATTGTTAACAATTAAAACAATATTGATTTCATAATGCATTTTTGCTTATCAAGATCGGTAGCATATGGTCTAATAGATCGATTCAGGACGTGTGATATATTTACTTCGATGGAAAATATGTATTATAACAACATGTATTATAACATTATTTATTATTATTAATTGTGCAATAGGACAGAGAATTTATATTATAAAACACGAGACAGTTGGAAGAACAATAGTTTACTTCTATATCAATTTGCGTATATACGTTAAATATATAGTTCTTAATATTATATACAACGTTACTGTTAATATTTGACCGAAACATTAAAAAATAATGTTTCTATACTATAATTTTAATATTTAAAAATATAATATTATCAAATAACAGTTTTAAAATATTTACAAAATATCATGTCCAAATGTTTATAAATTCGATATAAAATCAATGTTTTAAAAAATTGATTTAATGTTCCTTGCTTACTGGGTATGTATCCGAAGTATTTTAATTTAAAATAAAATTCGTATCAATGAGAACGATATCTATGGTTACGATAATGCTGATAACGATAAACGATGAAACTGACAAACAATTACTCCGCTCCCCCCATTATCACCCCTATCTCTACAATAATCATATCAACGAGACGGAGACGAATCCATGACTGGTAAAAACGTTTAGATGGGCGCACGACCATGACGCGGCGCGATAATGCGCGTCACGCCGCCATGTGGGCCCGTCTGCATGGGAGCCGAAGATAAGCGTGCATTGCGTGCATGCGATTGGCGCTTTAAAGCGGCGGCTCGTCGCAGTCGCCGAGTCTAGCAGAGAACGGTATGTACTTCCGGCATCCGGCAAACGCCCCAGTGTATCGTTCACTAGTGTCGTCGGGTCGAAATTTCTGCGTACGATAGATCGTCCTTTGCCGTTTCTGTCGATTCTGTTGGGAAAGGACTGTGCGGCGACGAGTCGCGTGGAAATTTCGCTCACGGTGAGTGGACAACCGCACTTATTTAAGACGATGAACGTCATCGCGCGACGGCGACGAGGCGCCAAGCCGAGCACGGCTCGCTCGCTTGCTTGACGGCTTTTTCCCGGCTCATCGTGAAAAGTGTTGCGCCGATAAGCTTGTCCGATGGTACGAAACGACACTCGTGAACGCATACAATCGGACGCGCGTCACGTTCCTCGCGCCGCGAAATCGTCCGGGAAACGCGAGCGATTTTTGGTTAGCCTCCGTCGTCGCCGCGTTCCGGCTTCGGCGTTCTTCCGCGTGAGTCACGCACCTCCATCTGACGTTTGACGCCGGTGACGTTTCATCGCCCCGTCAGCACGACGGATAACTCGCTGAAAGGTCATCGTTTTTGAATATTCTCTGCGTGCCTTTCACGTCGTTTTCTGCGTTTCCTACACGAATTTCCCGATACTGCGTGAAGTCTGTCTTTCTCAGTTGGCACTTCGCGATTTTTCTCCAGCCATCGCCTCTCCACGGAATGTCACAGTTGTATGATCATCCAGCCTCGACTACAGGAAATGTGGTGGTGCGACTAAGAAAGACAGACTTTTCATTTCCGTACGCTTCAAGTTGCTTTTATTTTACTCTTGACAGTGCGGAGTGTTCGGCCTTTGGTTCTCTTTTGAAGATTTTTACGGAAACATTAAAACAAGAAAAAGATGGAGGGAGAAAGAGATTTAATTAGAGACTTTTAATTTTTGAATACTCCAAATTGCTTTTATTTTTGTTTCAACAATGCAGAGTGTTCAACTTTTCGTTCTCTCTTGAAGGTTTTTTTACGGAAGCACTAAAGTAAAAAAAAAAAAAGAGATTAGAAAGAAGAAATTGATCCCGGGTAGACATATCGCGACCCAAAAATGGCAGATATTCATAGGAGAAATAGGAGGAGGACTTTCAAGCTGACTTGTGCGGGCGCAATTTGGTGCTTCGTTTCGTGACACGTCCCTGAGATTCGATCGAGAGATTGAGATTCAACCGTTCGCACGGTAGATCGGGGCTCTCTCGATCCGTTATCGTCATTCATTAGTCATACCTTGCTGTTCCATCGTGTAGCACCTTTTTACGTTGACTAGCCGCTGCGAGTGAGTTTCTTAACTTTCCTTCGACCAAAAAGTTTCAAGCGTGAGATACGTATCGACGGGAAAAACCGGTGGGAGATGCCGAGCGAAGGAAAGCGCCGGAAAAGCGGCTCGGGAATCGTACCTGAGGCTTATAAGAACCTGTTGCATTTGTGGCAAAATCGTAAGTAGTTCGCTCGTTGCTGCGGATCTAAATCTCGCAAGACGAGTGACGCGCCTGCGGTGTTCTTTTTTCTCTCTCGAAGCCCTCGAATATTTTTCCACTTTTAAATCCCACGGTGATTTCTCGTCATCGAGCGAGCGCACGCTCGTTATCACTGCGATTCCCCGCTGCGATTCTCGGAGCAGTCTCGTGTGGAAGGATCCGATACCCGTTTTATCGAAGCGATCGCGCGTCGACATACACGCAGCAGACTGGAGAAGAAAAACCGTTCCTCTCGTGCGCTCATCGTAATAGGTTCGTCCGCGTTCGTCCCGGTCTACAATCGATGCTTCTAAGCCTTAAAAAATTGACCAATCACAGTCGAATTATAGAAGAAAAATAAATTATGATTGGTCAGTTTCTTAAATCGTACGTCTTAAATTTTCATTGTAGACCCCGCTTTTGGTGTAGAGGTACTCGTCGAGATACTTTAGCGGATTCCGCCGAATGTCATGATTTCGGTCGCCGTCCGAACAGCGGCAGCACCGAGGGCCACCCGGGCGAGGTGTGTGACGAGGTGAGGCAAGGCGCGGCGAGGTGAGAGAGACGACGCGATGCGACGCACCGCGCCGGTCGAAACTGGGAACGTTGGACCGGGACGTCGGGACGCGTTATCCAGCCGCCGCCTTTTCGCCGCCGCCTTCACCTCCACCTTCGTTGACCTCATCGTTTTCCCCGCCGCTTCTCTCATCATTCCTCGCTAATTCCCAACGTTTCCTCTCTGTTTTCATTTTCCTCTCGCGATACTCTGCATCGATATTGTCCGAGTTTTCCGCGACTTTTGCCGACTTTAAGTTCGCTTAGATCACGAGTGTGGGCGAGACTTTTGCGTCTCCCGTCATCTCCCGGGGCGGCTGCGTATACGGGGCGAGTATACGCGTCGCGATGGAACCGATCTCGTTCCTGCGGCGCGACCGAGTGCTCCAAGACTCTCGTTTATCCATCTCGGTACACAAGTAAAGTGACGAGGGTGTGTTTTACTCGTCCTCCTCCGATAATCAAAATCAGATCTCTTAATGTTCGCGCGATTGAATTCTTTTCAGTGAATACCGAGCTATTCTAGAGGATACTCTCGAGAGTGTTGCCCGATAGTCGGGCGAGAGAGTTTCACGATTCGTGAATCCTCATGCTCGGGGAGACACGGTGTATATCGCCTGCGTAATTGTTTGTGCGAATTCGACCGATCGACTCGGCCCGCCCGTCGAGTTTCTAGCGCGCTCCTGTGGATCGTTCCTGAAGAAGACGATATAATATCTTTTAGTCGGCGCACTTGAAAGGCTCTGTAGAAACATAATAGTTGTGCACGCTTCATCTGTCACGGTTGACCTCCTGTGTTTGTCTACTGTCTATTGGGCTATTTATTGGGCCGTTTGACGCTCACGGATCGTCTAATCGCAAGCAGTCGTCGTTAGCCGAGTAGGTATCCGCAGTTCGTTGTGTGACGGCAACGAAAGTGAGTCGGAATTGTGCGATTAGACGTGAAGCAACCGCCTTTTATGCTTTTACACACGTTGACGAGCGAGAGCGATCTTCCTGACATCAGCGAGAGGTTCTTCGCGAAGAGAAGAGAAGCGAAGTATATTGAACAGACGCGGCGGCTCACGAAGTAAGGGACACGCTTTGAAACGAATATCCGAAAATATATAGAGATCGCAAACTACAAGATTGTTGGATCTATCGAATTTTATATTGTACGTGTCTGTTAAACTTCTTACAAGTTTATTGAGAAACGCGTATCTCTCGTTGGACCGAGTAGAAGTTTCGCGAAGTATTCGTTTACTCGGAATTTTATATTATAACCGACCGCATGCGTTTTTACATTTGAATCGACTACATCGAGTTTTATATCGGACGTGACTGTTAAGTTTTTCACAAGTTTATCGAGATACGCTTGTTGAACCTCATAAAATTTTGCGATATTAATTTATAAGAGAATTTATGCGAGTGCGCTCAAGAGAAGGCCACGTGGCAATCGATCTCGCAAGGACGTCGCTCGTAAACAAACACTGTTATAGGCGGAATAAGCAATATTAAGAACGAAGGAAGAACGACAGTCGTGCAACAAGCACAATAAACCGGCGCTACGAAAACACTTGAAATAATATTTGAAGTAAACAAGGACTAATAATGTTCAAGTGCTGCAGATGTTGCTCGAAAGGGTCACATTCGAACACTGATTCGGATTCGAACGACACTCCGACAGCATCGCGGAAGATAATTGAGTCGAAAAAAGACGTTGAGGAAATGGATGTGTCACCGAAAGTGGCAAACGGCGATGTACCGCGAGCGGAGGATACGAAAGAGGTAAAAGAGGAAGAGGAAACGAAAGAGATGAAAGAGGAAGAAGAGGCGAAGGAGCCGAAGGAGGAAGAGGAAATGAAGAAGGTGGAAAAGACGGAAAAGACAGAGGAGACGAAAAAGACGGAGGAGACAGAGAAGATGGAAAATATAGAAATGACAGAGATGATGGAAAAGAAAAAGGAGACGGAAAAGACGGAGGTGATGAAAAAGGTAGAAGAGATGAAAGAGACGGAAAAGACAGAGGAGACAGAAAAAAGGGTAAAGACGGAAAAGGCAAAAGAGACAGAAAAAACGGAGGAGATAAAAAAAACGGAAGAGACAGAAAAAACAGGGGAGACAGAAAAGACAAAAGAGACGAAAAAGACGAAGGAAACAGAAAAGACGGGGAAAGCAGAGGAAACTGTGATCGAGTCGGCTTCCCCAGCTCACCCTGCAACGGAAGCTCCGTCCCGGCAGCAGGGTGAAAAAGACGACGGTTCTGAGGCGAAGCCAGATTCGGTCTCAACGAAAAAAGCAGAGATCAACAAAGCTGACGTAAACATCGGCGACACCGAGGAAAAGTCAAGCTCGGGCACGTCGGAAGAAGAAACGGTTCACGAAATTGATAAACGTGATAACGTTGTCGAAAAGGAGGCAAATCTTACAGAGGAAGAGGCGGCATCGCTTTCCGGTTCCGCGACGAAAGAATGTGAGCAGATGGCCGAAAAAGTTTGTCCCTACGACGAAGGCCAATCTGTCAACAATGAAGTTGAGTTTGACGTCCCCGTCGGAGATCAGGCAGAGAGCGACATGATCGCGATGAAGATCCCGATCTGTCCGGCCAAAACGAATCTTTATTGCAGCTCGGGATACATTGAGCGGACGATCGATGACGGACTGGATGACGAAGGCGACGACTCGGTTTTCGAGGCCTGTCCGAGCGAGAACGACGCGGCTAATAAGGCGCAATCAGGTACGGCACCTGTTAATATCGGTGTCGTAGATGCGCAATCCATTCATTAAGCAACAACCGCGGACAATTGACGAGGTAACGCGCGATATGCCCGTTGTAACGTTTAATGTTGCGTCCTCGTCTACGAAACTCGAAGAACGGAGTAATCACGGGGAGAGAAAAGATTTGTTTGAATTTACCGGGCGATGAACAAGCTAAATGCGTTTTTGCCGAAGGAAACGGAATTTCCGACCGTTATGAGTCAAATCTGGAATTCGGTTCCCCTCAGTCAAGATGCGTTTGGTTCGTTTATCATTGGTTAAAATCGATCAAAAATTTTTTTTCCGCAATAAGGTTGTCAATGTGCATCTCTTATCGGTGATTCACTGTGTAGATATCCTCGAAATAATTTTACTCGAGATCACAGGCAGCACCGTCACAAGCGGCATCGGTGCGCGCGATCTCAGGAACATTATTTCGCACATAGGACAAAGAGTTCACTTGAATTCATCCGACCTCGAGCGAACCAAACGCGCTTTGGTTGAAGGAAACGGAATTTCCGGTTTTTGTGAACCAAATTCAGTTCTTATGACCAGAAATTACGTTTCCTTGAACCACACGGAAAAAAATGATTTGTTGACACAGAAAATTGCATGCTGTCGCGGCAAAATCTGTCAGTTATTATGCGGACAGCAAAACGATTCGTTAAGAATATTAATTTCCACTTGCAGCATTATTTTGCCGAATCTACTAATTGTTTTGTTGTAAAAACAGATTAAAAAATATAGGAAAACACTATTTTGGTCTAACAGCAAATTAACGTGTTCTAAGGATAAATTCACTCAGCAATATTTCAAAACTACCTGACAATAAAACTGTTCCTGCTCTATAATTACGAACAGTTCGTTAATTTGGTTATGCTGACTAGATTTTATTATTGTCGCAACAAATATGCAGTAGCAACAATGTGTATGCACGGAGAAAACAAATTTTGCCAGAACAGTAAATGTTTGTCAATATAGTGACAGTAAAAAAAATTCTGTTTAGACAGAAAAAAATTTGTTTGAACAGCAGAAAGATTTGTTAAGATTATTGATTGTCCATATATCCAGCAAATAGCAATTAATACTCTTGACAAATCTTTCTGCTGTTCAAATAAACTTTTTACTGTCTAACAAATTTTTTTTGCTGTCACTGTATTGACAAACATTTGCTGTTCCTAGTAAAATTTGTTTTCTCCGCGTGTGCATATGTGTGTATGTGTGTGTGGTTTTACTGCACAGAAAAATTATTTTTTTCCCGCACAGAAAGGCAATTGTACAATGAAAAAGTTCTAGTCGTAACCGTAAGGCCGTGAGCAAATTGATAAACCACAGTCGATTATTTTTGAACCGTAAGAAGAACGATCGATTATGGTTGGTCAATCTGCTTACGGTCTTGTGGTTACAACTAAAACTTTTTCACATGCAGTGGCCTGAACGCATTCGTTCCTCGCATCAAGTGAATTCGAGCGAGCCCTCTTTTCTGTGTAGTCGATCGCATTGCGACCGACCGATAAAAGGTGCACTTCCCAACTATTTTCACTTGTTCCATCGTCCAAGGCGGTGTATTTGTGACCCACTGCCCATCGATCAGACCAGTACTCGCTTTCCTCCGACGCGTTGTGATCGATAATCCGACCTTCTTCGCGGAGAGAAGAGCAAAATAGAACTAAGTTTAAGCGCGACGGGCGGGGAGCAGGGTGGAACACGCGCGCGTGGCGTCGTGTTGTCTCGAGAATCCGAAAGACCGGCGGGGTCCCTCTTTCCCATCCCGGGGAAATAGCCAAGGTATTCTCGGCATATTGTACGTGTATCGTTTCCGCAGTTGGCCCCCTCTCAGACTGGATCACGCAGCAGCACGATCTTCTGGAGAAGAACGGCGAACACGTGCGAGGAGGATGCAGCGGCATGCAGGAGCCGCCGGCGACGCCGGTTGCTCGCGACGAGCTCGCTCTAAGACGGCACAGATTCTTCTCTGAGTTGTTGCAAGTCGCGCAGAACACGGAGCACAGAGTGAGGTTCGACCCGCTAGGACCGAGGGTGCACACCGGTTAGGGCTCGACTATCAATTTCCAACCCGCTCCGATTCTCTCCTCTGTGCGCGCGTGCTGCATGACCCGAAGTAGCTGACCCCCGTCCCCACCCCATGGTGGTACTCTGTCCCTCGACACGGGCTGATCGTGAACGGTGTTCATGAGTGATTGCCGTGCACCTCGCACATATCAACGGCGCGAATATGCTAGCACCACTTCCGGTATTTGAGATTCTCGCACTCACTGAAAAATTTAAGTTTGATTGGATCTGCCTGACAATAGACAACCAAACGCTTTTTCTAGCTCTCCTGAATTAGGTTTGGTTCTCACAACCGGAAATTCTGTTCCCCTTAACGCATTTGGTTGTCCATTTTCAAGTGGATCCAACTAAATTTATCTTTCAGTGCTATCGGGAAATTCGCAGTTTGGTGTAACATGTTTCGTGAATTTGTCTCCGACGTTTTGTAAATATTTTACTTTATTTCTTTAGGAAGAATAACCTAAAGTGTCGGAAAGTTGGTCGTGAATTTTTTACTCCAACGTGAATTGTTAACGTAAAAATGAAGACATTTAAAAATATTTTCTAACTTCTCTCTAAATTTCTTGGAATGAAATTTCATTCGACAAGTGTAAAGTGATCATTATCGCTTCGAGTGAAGATATCGCTATTTTTCACTTGTTTTCAATGAAGTTCTATTGCAAGAATTTTCGAAAGTTCAAAATATTTGAAAATGTTCACTCTTTTCACGAGTTCACATCTCAGATAGAACAGAAAATCGCGACAACGTTAAAATGACGAGAAAATAACTACACAGAAAAAAGTACTAGATTCAAGTAAATAATTACTCCAATACTCCTTAGTAATTTTTTTTTGATTTGGTTTAAATAAATATTAATTGATTCAAATAAAATATTTTCCAAATAAATTATCTGAGTAAAGTAAAGAATATTTATTTGATCTAAGTAAGATTTATTTAATGATCTAAATAAAATTTATTTAATCCAGATAAAAATTTGCTAAGAAGTATTTGAGTAATTATTTATTTGAACACTGAAAAAAAATACTACTTAAAATTTATTTGTGAGATATAAAGTTTATTTGAAAAAAAAAATATTTATTTCTGTAAAAAATAGGCCTTATATTCTACAAATAAATTTTCAAGTATTTTTCTCAGTGTAACACTTTTCCATGTATAAAAGTTCATCTTTCGATCATTTTTTCATCATTTTGTCACCACCGTCATTTTCTACTCTATCTGGGACTGGAGGAAAATATTCATGATCGTCTTCTAGGTCAGAGAAAGCAACAACCTGAAACATGTGGCTTCAGGTTATTATTTTCCCTGAAGAAATAAACCAGTACATTTGCGAAACGTCGGAAATAAATCCATGAAAAACACAGCACCGACCCGGAAGTCAAACAGCGCTACTTCCGATTCCCGCATAACAACACGTATCTTTAAATGCGGTCGTATTTCTCTTTCGTACGCACGCTAAGACGTCTATGATTACGTTACACATGAATCATTCGCCGCGCTTATTTATGTATACGAGTATTTCCCGCGCGATGTTAGTGGTTCTCTAATAATAGTTTGGAATGTTCTCGCGTCGGACATCACATTTCAGGTGTCTTTCAGTTCCTTGCCAATTTTCGGAAAGTCCAGTGGTCGTTACGCCACGTCGCTCGTAGTGTATCGCATCGCAATCGTGGGAACCCTCAGGACTTCTGGACAATAAGTAACCGAGATTGTTAGTGATGAGGCTTCTAACGAGCAGAACTTGCGTTAATTTAGAGGCACACGTATCGCTTCTAACGCTTCTAGCAGCGTTACGCTGCGCTAACGTAACTATATTTAGTACATAACATATTCTATATTTAGCGTTCCAAGTATTCGACGAGGTTTCATCGCGGCTTCTGGGATCTCCAGAGATTTTCGGCGGTCTCTTCGACGGAAAAGCTTCGTTTCCTCCTCGCCCTCACGTGTGTCGTTTTTCTATTAATTTGATTTCCTCACTCAGTTATTAAACGCTACGAGTGAACGGACATTCATAAGATATATAACGAATAGCGTGGTTTACTTTTTTTTTGTATAAACAACGGAGATATTCGTGTTTGAAAACCACATGGTCAGTCTCGTCACTCAAAATATATGAATACGCATTAGCGAGAGCAAAGCTGGTACAGTTCACTTCTACTGGATTAAGGTTCCTCAATGATTGTGTTGAATGTAAAACGAGCAACTTGAGCGACACGCTGTAAAGCTTACCGACGGTTTGATCCGATGTTGCATTGCAGGTTGCAGTGAAATCGGCGACAGAGAGGAATACCTGGAACAGTTGGTGAATCGGCTGGAGAACGTGACGAGGCGACTTGAGAAAGTACCGGTACCCTTATCGGTCCAGACTCAAGAAACTTCCGTGCAAGTACCCTCACCGAAATCTACACCGGCAAAAAGTAACTCGCCGACAGAGGACCCACCGACACAGGGCTCACCGACGAAGGAATCACCAAGATCATCTCCGGACCCAGTTTGCTCGATCGAACAAATAATTCCACAGCAGCCTATAAGCATGTCCGTAATCGGATACGAAGATCTCTTGGCCGGCCCGGTTAAGGAATATCTAGCATTAAGTCAGAAGATCGGTGGCGATGTAGCCGCTCATAGCAACCTCGTGGAGAAAGCTTTTCAGTTAGTGATATCTACGTTTCGCATTTGAATCGTGAAGCCGAGCGCTTCGCGCATACTCAGAAAAAAATAGTCTTGAATCAATAATCGATATTCTCATGTACAAACAAGAATATTATAATATATTCTTAGAAGATGTTTAGTCTTGAATTGAGCGCAAATAATACTTTCATCAATACAAATTTAATCAAATTAAGACTAAAAATCTTCTAAGAAAATTATATTCTTGTTTATATATGAGAATAACTATTTTCGATTTAAGACTAATTTTTTCTGTATATATTGAGAAAAAATGGTAGAATCGGCGAAATTTTGCTTAAATGAGTAGAATTCTTTCGAGCGCAACATTTAGTCTGTTGAACAAATTGTACAGTTGCCGTAGTAAGTCATCAATTGATTCAACAATTGCAACTTGGTCAACAATTGTATCAACGCAACGTATTATTGCGTCAACGTGTTATTTGTTCAGTGGACGTAATATTTCCTTAAACGAGAGTGACTACCGATTTTGTCGAATCAATCGCTTTTTTCTCAGTGTAATATCACATATACAAACTGGACGTTTTAAAAACGTCTCGAACGATTTCAGCTTTCAACTGCAGTTCATACATACAGCGGCGAGCCGTGCAGCACCGGCGAGCCAATCCGAGCATATGGCTCTGCTTCAACCTATGTCCGCGCAGATTCAGCAGATTCAAGAATTTCGCGAGAAAAATCGTGGATCCCCGTTCTTCAATCACCTCTCGGCGATTAGCGAAAGCATTCCCGCTCTGGGATGGGTCGCGGTAACACCTACACCTGCCCCGTATGTAAAGGAGATGAACGACGCCGGTCAATTTTACACTAATCGTGTATTGAAGGACTGGAAAGAGAAGTAAATAAGCTTTTCTTAAGCGAAGAGAGAGAGAGAAAGAGAGAGTGAAAAAGAGAGAGAGAGAGAGAGAGAAACATGATTTGTTTTGCGATTCTGCAGAAAAGCAATTTGCTGAAATACCTTCTGTTTGTAGAGACAAAATACATATAGACTGGTGTAAAGCATGGGTGCAAACGTTGACCGATCTGCAGCAGTATGTCCGTCAACACCACACGACGGGCTTAGTGTGGGGCAAAACTGGCACCGCACCAGCGGGCATACCACCTCCCCCGCCCCCTTCGATGCCGATCGGAGATATTCCACTGCCCATGGTCAATGACGACAGGAGCGCCCTTTTCGCTCAGATCAATCAGGGAGAGGACATTACAAAAAGTGAATATTTCCTTACGTCGATCTAAGACCGATATTCGTAATCTAATCTTATATTTACGATTACCGGAAGTCCAAATCTTTAGATAAATCCGTAGTTAATGAAAAGACTTGTACAACGTCTGAGGATGAGCTTGAAGCGATCTTAAATATAAGATCTGATTATAAATACCGCCCTGAGATCGATAAAATTTACCGGGTTGATGCAAAAGTTTATTCTAGTTTTTAATCAGTCCTTCGCTCAGAAATCCCAAAATTTCTACGGGCGCAGGATCATGCAGCTATCGGAAAGATGGCAGGTCGAATAAAATGGTATATATTTAATTGATTGATTGTATTTTTGAATAAGTAAATATTATGTGTACATTTTGATTAAAGAACGGAGCGAACTTTTGGATCAACCCAATATTTTTAATTATTCGGTTAATCACGCCTAGAAAAATTGATCTTAATTACCGATATCTGTATCGCAGATCTGAAGAAAGTTACTTCGGAAATGCAAACGCATAAAAATCCCTCTCTAAGGTCCGGGCCTGCGCCGTTCAAAGCACCGATAATCGCTAGTGTGACGCCGATGAAGACTGTGTTATCAGCGAACGCGCCCATCGACAAACCATCCGTGTTTACCAGAGATGGCAAGAAGTGGCTCGTGGTGGGTAATTAATATTTTACACAAGTGCATTTACACACACACACACATTGTCGGCAGATTAAAGATTAGAGTATTTTTTTTATAAGTTTTGCAACGCATCTTGTATCCAAGAAAATGAATTTCCCGAAAATTACTAACAAAAAAAACAAATTCTCCTGTGCGATGAATTGCGAAACTCATTAAAAAAAAAATGCACAACCTTTAATCCGTCGATTGTGTGTGTTTGCATGTATCGAAAAAAAAGAGAGCCGATGTCCATTTTTTCCAAGGTAGAGATATTCGAATACATGTTGAACGATGACGATTCCTTATCTCTGTTGCAGGAGTACCAAAAAGGCGAAAATTTAGTAGTCGATAACGTGGAGATGAATAACGTAGTTTACATGTTTCGATGTCAAGACAGCACGCTCACCGTCAAAGGCAAGGTGAATTCCGTCGTGATGGACTCCTGCCGCAAATCGTCCGTTGTATTCGACTCCCTCGTGTCCAGCATCGAGTTCGTCAATTGTCAAAGCGTACAAATGCAGGTATGTGTGAGTGTGTGCGCATCGTCTATTACTTAAATCACTTATGTCCTCCAACGAGACCGTGTAATCAGATAAGATCGTGCTTAAAAGATACGCGACATCGCTGAATATGTCGGTGCGAGAAGAACAGTTTGTCCTTTCGTACCGTGAAAAATCGTCTTGCTTCCTGCTTATTGTTTCTTTTAAGACTTTTGTTTCCACGCTGCAATCTTGATTAATGACGTCACAAACTAAAAAATGTATGTTCAAAATTTTTGCCTTAAATACCTTGAAAAGTAAAAGGGATATGCTCATAAAATATAATACTTATGATCGATTGGGCACATTTGTCAAATATTCTAAAACTTTTTTTATTTTTAATCTTTTCCTATTCTTATTCTATTTCTTTATTTTTATTCTTATTCTATTTTTACTCTTTTATTTTATTTTTAATCAATAAAATAGCCGTATAAAATTAACAGATGACAAAGCCAAGAGGAAAGAGAAGCTAAAAAGTGAGGTTACATGTCATGTAAATTTTACATTTATTTATTGATTGTTAGAGCAGAAAGAAGTTTCCGGGATATTTCACAAATGTGTCCAATCGACCGCAAGTCTCATTGTACGAGCACATTCTTTTATTTCGACGTATTTCGCGAGAATTTCGAATATACATTTCACGTCATCAAACAAGCCGATTGCAACCTTGACGAAGGATCGGGAGCCTCAATACTCCAAGAGTGACCTTCACCAAACTCACATTGAACTAATTGATGGATAATAACAAGAATCGCTAATTCTTAGTTCTGTAATTTGTCGTTCGACGGTAATCGACAAGTTAATAACTTTGATCTGCGTTAACGAGCAGATGATATTTGACTCTTATCAGTTTTCTAGAATACTCAACATTCACAGTGTGAGGAAACGCAAGTCTGTTTATTAGGAAAAATGTACCTTTACAAAAAAGAATCCGATGAATAAAACTTCTCTTAAAAGTATCCTGCGCGGTACGAGACAGAAACGACACGCGTCGATCAGTCGCTCAGTGCATATCGGTCGTCGACGTGCACGTGTCCGTGATGGAAGGTTTCACGGTGACTTCTTTCTCCTCTCTTTCAACGGTAGCCCACAGCAGTTCCGTTTTGCGTCTCAACAGATCCGTCACAGAACGGACGTTCTCCGTGTCTAGGATGAACATCGGACGACTCCTCTGCGAATCGTCGCACGCCATTATGGAAATAATGGTTAATGTTTTAGGAGCCGTGTTCTCCGTGCGCTCCTTGTCGCTCCTCAGGGTTTCTGCACTTCGATCGTCGGATAAGATGGGCAGGTTGCTCGTTACCGTCACACTGCTGTCTCTGAATGCCGTCTTCGACTCTACCTCCTCTCTTCCGTTCTTCTTCTCCGTGTCCATCTTAGTTGAATTCAACGCAGCCTTTTGTGCGCGCAAAACTCCATCCTCTATCGGAACGCTTCTTCCTCCTTCTTCCATGGCTTCCTCGCCCGTCGTGCGACCTTTCTTACGAATATTCTCCCTCCACAACATCGTCAACGGGCTTCTCGTTGGGCTTCTCGTTTGGTGTCTCATTCGAGCGGCTTCCAAGCGGTTCCTCAAGATCGGTATGCACGATCTAGCCGAGATCCCTTCTGGCAGTAAAAGAGACTTAGCCGAAATCACGGAGCGCGACTCGCTCTCACGCTCGGTGTGCTCGTCCTTGATGTCGTCGTCGTGCACGTCCCTCATGTCGGACTGATGCAGCGTTCTGCAGATGCGCTCCAGGGTGTCGCGGTACGCGAGTGACGAGTGCGATCTCTTCGGGTGCAGGCCGACGTGCGGGCTCGCGCCGCTTGTCAGAGACATGTCGCTCTTCGCTTTCGCTCGGGAATTCGTTTGGTGTAGCCGTTTGCTCGAGTAGTGCTTTCTCACTCGGGGCGACAGGTTCACGGAAACATCCGGATCGTGGCGTTTCCTGTCGCTCGCGTTTAACGGGCGGCACTCACCGGGACTGTGGGTGACGCCGTTACTTCTCCTCGTCTTCGTGTCGGTTGTCGAGTGGTCGCGTCCCCATTGATCAGGATTGAGGCTCGAGTCGACGAGAGTCGTGGAGCGCTCGATGTCCGGCGGCAGTTCGCTCGGCATCGCCGCGTTCGCGTCTACAAAGGGGCGTCTTCGGCCTCTCGAGCTTCCGTCCTCGCCGTTCTCGAGTTCACGGGTCTCCGGAGAATCTACCGGGTCGGTGCAATCGTCGCAGCGTAGCATCGTACGATCGACTTTGCCGGAACTTCGGAAAGCATCGCCCTCGTCCGGCGCTCGAAGCGCCCTGCGCGCCTTGGAGATCGCCCGGTTCTCGCTGCGGAGGAAGATGTCCATGTAGTCCCTGATGTTCCTCACCCGTTCCAGCACGAGCTCCTCAAGCTCGAGCATCACCGGCAGGCGTTTGCCGACCACGTCGTCGTCCTCGAGATCGCCGACGCTCGCGTCTGCTCCTGGACTTCGATGCGCGCCCTCCGGACCCTCCGACCGGACATCGACCGGTATCACGATCGAGATCACCTTCTCGTAGGTCGGCGGCTTCAGCGATACCGACGCATCGATTACCTTCTCGTTACCGGGGATCGTCAGATCGCAGATGCTGAAGTACTCGGACGGTGTCTCCTCCTCGTTGTTGCCCGTGTCTCCTTCGTTCTTGCATCGCACGAGCGCAGCGCTCTTCAAGGCTCCTCCGGGAAACGAGTCGCGCTGTCGTTTCATCTCCCAGCGAACGTAGCGTCCCTGTCGCGACCCGAGGTCTCCACAGACGGATTCGATAACCGGTCCCTCCGTCTCAACGTCCATCAACATCGTGGATTGGAAATTGTTGCTGCTCTGCGTCTCCTGTGTCCTCGGAGGCCCACCCGCGACGTCGTCCTCTCTCGCGCTACGCAGTAAAAAATGTTTTTGTGTTAAATCTAACACGTTTAGCATGTCCACTTTACGGTCCACTCTAAACTTTTGTGTTAATTTAACACGAAAAGTGAATATGTTGAAAAATAACACGAATATTGTGTCAGTAACAACATCAATATCCACAATACGTTAACCCATTTCGGGCCGGACTGCGAAAATATCAAGATCCATGAGATCCGAGTACCGTTTCAGGGTAATTAGGTCCCAAAAAACCTAAAATCAGAATTTTCCGACCAGTTGTTTTCCCCGGAAAATAATCGGAACGTCTACCTTGAGTGACACGTGACATACATCTGGTAAATCATATTATAATGGAAGTCATCATTATCGACAATTTGAACTTTTGGTAACAATACCTCATTGTTTTTTCAATTTCTTCTTTAAATATTTTTAATTAATTAAAAAGATGAGACAATGAACTAAAAAGTGTACTTTGCAAGATTATTTTCCACTTCCAGCTACCGCCAGGGAGATAATAAGTGATGACCAGATGAAATTATTTTTTGAAAAACAAAAGTCCAAACTATATTTCAGTAACATGATCTAAGCCAGAATCTACCTTTATCACAGATAATAAAATTTTTAAACAAAGGAAAAATTGCTATTTCTATACAGGAACAGAGGAACGAAATGGGTTAACGGATATTAAAGTATAAACTGTGTTATTTTAACACTTATAAATGTTATTTAGATATTTGCACATGTTGAATATTGACTGCAACACAAAATATTGAAATAACATAAACACGGATATATTAAATTGACACACGATTATGGTGAAAATTTAACACAAAAATTTGAACAAGGGCCGATTTTTTAGCACAAGTACAAAAAATGTTTTTTACTCTGTACGTATCAGACATCTCCTCTCGGACTCGACGCGCGTCAGCAAAGCCTGCTTGAACAGCAGAGCCTCCTGCAGCAGCAAGGCTGTCGACCTCCTTTCCAGAAGATCATTTCTCATGGAGATTTTGCTTCGACTGCCACCTCGAGATGTCATCGGCGTGTTTTCTCGATATTCTTCTCCGTCGAACGAGCCATCAATCCGTTCGCTGGCGCTTTCTTTCGTCAGAGACACGCCATACTTTTTCGTTTCGATGTCCTCGGATGTCGAGACACGTCGTGCTTTCCACGGTACCGCTGTGAACTCCTCTTTCCTGAAATCGTACAAATTCGCGTTCTCGTCGTTCCGCGAGCTCGATCCCAACTCGCCACTATGATCCGAAGTGTCGCGTTGCGACGACATCGCGCCGTAGAAAGGCTGAAGGAACTGCTCGTGACCACTCGCCGCGAGATCGCAAACCGATCTCTGTGCACCACCACGTTGATCGCGTGGTACCCCCGCAGGTGTATCTCGCAACGCAACGTCGCTGGAGTACCGATGCGTCTTAGCGGACGTGGCGGTATTTGATGAACATTCGGCCAAGGAAGACGAGCTCTCCTCTGTCTGATCGAGCTCGAAGTACTCGCAGCTGTCGACGATCGAGCGTTGTGCGCATGGCGGAGTTTTCCTCGAGCCGTTTCCGAGGCTCCCGTCCAGGACGTTGTTCTCGTCGACCTCTTCGATCTTGACGGAGGCAGACGTGACGGCGACTTCGCCGACCTGACTCTGCCGCTTCTCCGAAGATCCATTCGTGTCCTCGTACGTTCGCAGCACGTCGTGTAAACCCTGAAGCTTCCTTCGTACCTCGTATAAAGTCTCCCGAGACGGTCGTACGTTCTGTGCCGGTTGTTTCATCGGAAGATCCTGAAGAGACTGCCTCCGAGAAGCGACGTCGTTGCTCGTCATCGCTATGGAAGATGCGGTTGTGTCGCTTCGTCGGTGCACATTATGTTCCTCGACATCCTCCGTCGTCCCGTCGTCTTCTATTCTTGTCGTGCCTTTCGTCCTGTCCATGTCTTCTCTTCTCGCCGTTTTGCAAGCACCGTCAGCCACTTTTCGCTTCCCCAACGTGAACAGGGCTGACTAAGAGTGTAAAATTATACTGGTCAACAAATTTCGTATCATAAATTGTTTCCATTTTGAATTTTAACTTTTTTTCTATTTTTTCTATTTTTCTATTTACGTTTTACT